ATTTGTCCCAGAGTTCCCAGCCCATCTTGGCACAAGCTGTCAGGAGGATTTGCTGAAACCATGAACACAGTCCCCAAGTCTAGAGCTCCCAGCAGCATAGTCACTCAGCCGCTCACCCTTCACCTTCCCCCTGCACCGGCAGACGCTGGAGAGAGGGAGGGAGTGTTAGTTGCGAACAGCTACCTCTTGCAACAAACACCTCCAAATCTCAGTGGCTCAACTCAGAAGTTCCTTTTTCTCACACACAGTCTAATCAAGCATTCTCAGTCTTGGGCAACCTTCCATGTGGTCATTCAGGGACCCAGGCCCCTTCCTTCTGGTACAGCCAGTGTGGGTGCAGGCAGAGGAAATGCTAAGCACATGTGGGCAGCCCTCCTTACTGTCCAGAAAAGATAAGCTGGGAGAGCTGGGTGGGGCTGGGCCCCAGGGGCCCTGGGATTTTCTATTTATGCCTTCCTGGCTGATTTTTGCAGAGATGGGGTTTTGCCATGTTACCCAAGCTGGTCTCAAACTCCTGGGCTCAAGCAATCCTCCTGCCTAAGCCTCCCTGTCAGGAGGATTTGCTGAACCCATGATCGCAGTCCCCAAGTCTACAGCTTTCAGCAGCATAGTCACTCAGCCACTCACCCTTCACCTTCCCCCTGCACCAGCAGACACTGGAGAAAGGGAGGGAGTATTGGGAAATACCTGGAGGTGGCGGCAGGGGTGGCCCCCTGGTCATGCCCCTCCCTTCTCTCACCCTGGTCCTGCGGGAGTGCCCCGATCTCCCCATCCTCTCCAGAGCTGCTTCTGTACTACTTCCAGGCCTGGAGAAGTCCCTCATGCCCCCCAAGAACAGCGCAGGCTTCCTGCTCTCTGAGGCACAGGGTCCTGGCCACCTGAGGGCTTGTGGAAGGTGGGGACAGGGATACCCCCATTCTCACCATCCCCACCCCACCCCAGAGGAAACTTTTTTGCTGTCCAGTGCTGCTCATTTTTTTCCTCATCGTTACTCTAATTAATCCTCAGCCCAAGACCTTCCCAGCTCTCTCCTGCCTGTCAACAGCATCCTCATTCTTCATGCCCGCTTCACAGTTCTGTGCAGTTTGGTCCAGCCACAGCCTCCCTGGGAGCCAATGGCATCGAGCCGTTCCCCACCCCTGAATACATCCTGTACCCTCCACCTTGGTGAGGCTTTCGCCTCTGCCTGGAAAGGTCTGTCAGAATCCTGCCTACATGCATGTGGCAGGGTGCCAGCACCACAGGCCACAGCTGACTTTCAGGTCATAAGGGGACTAATTCTTCTTCAATAAAGATGTCTAGCAATCACCCATTGATCCATCAATCCCATCCACCCAAAGAAAAGCGGAGCAACTGGGCCGTGTGAACTATACATACAGCAGTACTCACAACAGATTCTTGCCAAGAGTATGTAGCCTGGGTCTAATCAAGCCCTTAGATCTAACTCTCGGTTTACAGGAAATAAATAGGATAGAGGAACAAATTAGGTGACATCACGAGGAAATAACTAAATTAGGAATGAGAACATTGTGTAAGACAATGGACTTGACTTTGCTCTGTTTTTTTTGGCGAGGTGGTCGGGGGGCGGACAGAGTCTCGCTCTGTCACCCAGGCTGGATGAGGCAATACCCCTTATCTGTGGTGGAGTCCTGCTGATGTATTTATTTATTTATTTATTTATTTTGAGACAGAGTTTTTTGCTCTCTCACCCAGCCTGGAGTGCAGTGGGTGCACCCTCTGCCTCCCGGGTTCAAGCGATTCTCCTGCCTCAGCCTCCTGCATAGCTGGGATTACAGGTGCCCACCACCACATTCAGCTAATTTTTTTGTATTTTTAGTAGAGATGGGGTTTCACTATGTTGGCCAGGCTGGTCTAGAACTCCTGACCTCAGGTGATCCACCTATCTTGGCCTCCCAAAGTACTGGCATTACAGGTGTGAGCCACCATGCCTGGCTGTATTTATTTATTTTTTTAAGACAGAGTCCTGCTCTGTGCCCAAGCTGGAGCGCAGTGGTGTAATCATGGCTCACTGCAGCCTCAACCTCCCCAGGCTCACTTGAGCCTCCCACTTTAGCCTCCCAAGCAGCTGGGACTACAAGCACAGGCCACCACACCCAGCTAATTTTTGTATATATTTTGCAGACAGGAGGTTTCACCATGTTTGTGGAGAGGGGGTTTTGCCAGGCTGGTCTTGGATTCCTGGGCTCAAGTCATCCTCCCGCCTTGGCCTCCCAAAGTGCCGAGATTACAGGTGTGAGCCACCACATCCAGCCTGGAGTCCTGTTTAGCCTCAGGTCTGGCTGACCTGAAAGCCTGGTTATTGTGTCCAAGTTAAACCTAAACGCAGCTCTTAACATCCTGATGAGATAGATGGGAGTGACCACTCCCATTTTATGGGAGTAGAAGCTGGATCTGGGGAGAGTAGAGGATGCCCGAAGGGCCGAATGAGGAAAAACAGAGCCGTGCTCCAGGCTCTGACCCACCACCCCAGGGACATAAACTCACTTCATCCTCACTTTGGTCCTTGACGTGGGGCTGGAGGCAGCTGGTGGAGCCTACTGATCTTGAGCTCAGACCTCAGAGCCTGCTGCCTGGGACCAATCCAGGATCCCCCATTTCCTGGCTGATGAACCTAAGTGGGGGGAAGAGAGAGAGAGAGAGTTTCACTCTTGTTGTCCAGGCTGGAGTGCAGCGGTGTGATCTCGGCTCACTGCAACCTCCACCTCCCGGGTTCAAGCGATTCTCCTGCCTCAGCCTCCTGAGTAGCTAGGGCTACTCCACACCCGGCTAATTTTTGTATTTTTAGTAGAGACGGGTTTCACCATGTTAGCCAGGCTGGTCTCGAACTTCTGACCTCAAGTGATCCGCCCACCTCGGCCTCTCATAGTGCTGGGATTATAGGCATGAGTCACTGCGCCAGGCCCCAGAGCCCTTGCTTTCTAAATACTTCTTTGGAACATAGTTGGGTGCCAGGAAATAAGGATCTCTACTCCCCAGCAGTTGACTCCACCTAGCTCCTGTCCTTCACCAAGTGTACCGCTTCCCTGCGCAGGCCCCCTTCTTCCTCCCCGTCTTCTCTCTCTCCCCTCTCTTCCTTTCCACCCCTTCCTTATACCCTCCCTCCCCTCTTCTCTCTCTCCCCTTTCTCTCCTCTTTTCCCTTCTCCCTTTCTTTTTCCTCCCACCCCTACCCCTTCTTCCTCCTCTATTCTTTTTTTTTTTGAGATGGAGCCTCACTCTGTCACCCAGGCTGGAGTGCAGTGTGGTGTAATTTTGCCTCAACTGCAACCTCCGCCTCCCAGGTTCAATCGATTCTCCTGCCTCAGCCTCCTGAGTAGATGGATTACAGGCGTGCACCACCACGCCCAGCTAACTTTTTAAATTTTAGTAGAGACAGGATTTCACCATGTTGGCCAGGCTGGTCTTGAACTCCTGATCTCAGGTGATCCATCCACCTTGGCCTCCTAAAGTGCTGGGATTACAGGTGTGAGCCATCGCACCCAGGCTCCTCCTCTATCCTTGCATGGACAGAGCAGAAAGAACACTGGACCTCAGTTTTCATCCCTCCTCGTCCCTCTCTGGGCCTCAGTTTCCCCAGTTATAAAAAGAGGGATTGGACAGTAGGAATGAGAAGGCTAGTCACTTCCCATGTGCATAGGCCGGGACAGATTCTTTGAGCATAAGTGGACCTTGGCCCCTGCCAAGGGTGCTCTGCCACTTCAGGAAGTATCTAGCCTCATAACCCCATGCCCCAGGCAGCCCACTGGGCGGGGGATGGCTGAGGAGAGAGAGGTCCCTGGCCTTGGGATCTGTGACCCCTCTGCCCAGCCCATCTGGCTTGTAGCGTGGGATGCTGGCTCCACAACTGGCTTCCCTCTAGACACCAGTACAGCTCAGTCCTGGCCCAAGGTAGGGCTGCTGCCTCTTCTGGAGTCTCAGGGATTGCCACCACTGCCTTTAGGGATGGCTTCCATGAAGGCGGGCTGTGTTTTAATGTGCTACCAAGGCTGGCAAGCCTCTGCAGCCTTCACTGAAAGCCTGCTGGCTGGCCCTGTGTGGTTCTGTTGCCACCTCTCATGAAGAATGACTTTGGAGGGCCCTTGCTGGGAAGCTCCTCCCTGGTGCACTAGCCCAATGCCCTCCTTGGGCAGATGGTGAACTCGGGCCACATGAGAGGCAGGGCTTCTCCAGGGCACGGCTGCAGAGTTGAGGAGCCAAGAGCCAGAGTTATCAGGGATGGGTTGGCACCCGTGTTGTTCTCTGGGCTGGGGCCAGAGCAGAGATAGGAGTGGGTGCAAAGCAGGGAGGGAGAGGCTGGGAGGTAGAGGCAGGCAGGCTAGGGCACTCTCCTGGGTCCTGAGCTGCCCACACTCTGCTCATATTGGTGGTGAAAGGGAGGTTCTCCACCCTGATGCTGTGGGTAACCTGGGGTGGCTCCGGGCCTCAGTTTCCCCATCTGTCCATATGAAGTTAGACTCGATCCTTCTTTCAGCAGACCCTGAAGCAAGCCTCTGCTGACTGCAGGCTCCCTGCTGGGATCCAGAGATGCATAGATCAATGACGTCCCCCAGGAGCTTGGGATTCTAAGAGGGGAAACTTGAGGGTCCGTCCTGATTTGGGCGAGGTATTCCCTGGATTAAAGAAGAGCTTGTCAGACCCGGAATGGAGGGGCCCTGAGTCCCTCCCGGCCCCCTGGCACCCTGCTTTCTATTCCTCGGCCCTGCTGGCCTTTTGTGTGTTGCCCATGTAGGAGCCAGGGGCCCCAGGCCAGGTCCTAGGGCATGTTCCCAGCTTGTGGCAGGAGAGGACGCCCTTGTACCCAGGCAGGCATGGTCTAGCCTCCCGGCCAGGTCCCAGTATAAGGAACCTAGGATGGTGCTCAGCCCAGAGCCCCAGAGCCGGCTTGGTTCCTTGGCAACATCCTGAGGAATCCAGCGGCTCCACACTGGCTCCCTTCCTCTCCCCTCCCACCCTCCTGCCTGCGGGGGCTGGAGGCGGAGGCAGCCAGCCTCTATAAAAAGCGAAAGAGCTCTGGCAGCAGCGAGGGGACAGCATTGAGCTCTGCCGCTTGGCCATAGCCGCCTGCCTGGGCACCTGCCTGGACCCTCGCCCACCCTTGGCCATGGCTTCGATATCTCTCTGGTGGCTGCTCCGCTTGGCCACCCTCTGCCATCTGACTGTCCTGCTGGCTGGTAAGTGGGACCTGGATTCAAGCATGAACAGGGTGGGGAGCCCCCAGCCTTTCCTCTGCCCCTCAGGCCTGACATCAGGGGCCCCAGGCCCTGCCTGGGTAAAGCTGAAGGTCAGTGGCAGCCCCTTCCCCAGCATGTGCAGGAGGGGGCTGGGCACCTCCCAGGCCCCAGATGCAATGCTGGACAGATTTCCAGTTGCCAGTGCCTGCCCTTGCCTGGCCAGTAAGCACAGAGAGGTGGTGTAGGTGGCATAAAGGGGCAGGTGTGGGTGTGCCAGAAGGGAGGGGGTGGAGGGAGCCTGCAGAGGCTCCTGGTGAGCACTGGGGTGGAACACCCTGGCTGACAGTGGCTGACTCTTTCCGTCCAGTATTAATGTGTAACCCACAGCCCTGGCCCTGGGTCAGGCCACAGCTGGGGCTTTCTCCCGCTCTGTTTTCAAAGCCTCCAGGATTAGGAGGCCCAGGACCAGTGAAGGTCAAGGTCACTGCAGCTCATGGTCAGGGCTTGCCACTGCTGCCCTGGTCTATTGCCCCCGTTGCTCTGCCTCTGTCTACCCATCACGCTGTCTTCCTCATCCAAGCACAGTGTAGAAAATGCTTTTGCCTCTAGCCACTTGCTTACTGAAGCCCAGGACCTGGTAGGGCTCATTATTGCTATCCCACCTGATATGGATAAGATGGAGGCCCAGAGAGGTTTAGAAACTGGCCTGAGGATGCACAGCCAGCAAGTAGGGCAGGAGAGGTAAAATTCATGGAACTGAATGCAGGAGAGAGCACAGGTGCACACTCACCGCCTCTGTGGGCTACACCACCTCCTTGAACCACTAGCCAGCTCCCTCCTCAGGGGGTGCCCCCACCATCTGACAGGGTGACACTCAGAGAAAGTGAGGCTGCCTGCGGCACACAGCAAGTCTGGGAGAATGAGAAGTAGTCCTCAGCTTCCAGATGTTTCCATGGAGCAAACTCACCCTGGGGCAGGGAGCAGGTGCATGGGTGTGTGGGCACGTGGGGGCGGTGGAGGCGAATTCCTGCTGGCTTCCTGCTTTCTGGGCTTGGGCCCTGAAGCCTGAGGTCTCTGGGGGCAGTGAGCACTGAAAGGTGGGGAGTCAGATGGTGGAGGCTTTGCCACAGTCTTGCTGTGTGATCCTGAGCAGGGTCTTGCCTCCTCTGGTCCCAGCTGCTCCATCTTTAAATATAGCTATTACCTCTCTGGTGAGGTGGGGGAGGGTGATGAGGTTCCAGTGCCTATGGGGGTGTTTTGAAGGGGGCGGAGGAGGATTACTTTTCCTAAGCCGAGAAGGGGGAAGGGTCCTAGGCTAGGATGGAAAGGGGACTCTGGAGGACCCTGGATGTTCTGACTAGCAGCCTGAGGCTTTAGAGCCAGGCTTCTGCCCTCATCTTGGTCATTGGCTTTATTGGAAGATCCTGGGTATTATTGCAACCTTTCTCAGCCTCAGTTTCCCTTTCTGTAAAACTGGGCATTCGACCAGGCTCACCTTGGAAGCCCTCTCCAGCGCTGACATGTAAGGCTCCAAGAGGCCCTCGGGAGCCCCTACAGGACTAGGGGGTGGTTTAGAAGCCAGAGACCCCAAGAGGAGGCTGGGGGATTCATAGCTGCTGCCTTGACTGTTGCAGGGCAGCTGCGTCAGTCCCCAAATGTGGGTTTGTGGGGCTGTGTCAGGCAGGAGGCTTCTGTGCTTTATATAACAAACCTGCAGCTACAAGTCAGCGCAGAGCATTCTCCCCCTCCAAGAGCTGACGCATTCACTCCCACTCAAGTCCCGGCAAGAAAGAGAAAAAACCAATCTGTTTTAAGCTCCTATAGCCCGCCCCCATCATTAGCAGTGGGGGTGGATGAGGAGGGCAGGGGAGGATAAATTCTAGAGTGTCAGATCCAGGCCCCTGTCGAATTTAAATGAAAATTCCTCCATTTCTTCAACAAATGCTTATTGGACATCTACTGTGTGACAAAACTAGTTCTAGGTACTGGGGCGGCATCCAGAAATAAAACAGCCAAGGACCTCAGCCCTCGGGATGCTGTAATTCAGCTGAGGAGGACAGATCATACACCAAATAAATCAGTAAACAATTTGGTCTGTTGGAAGAAGAAAAGCACCATGATCAAAAAATAGAGAGGGGAGGCCAGGTGCGGGGGCTCACGCCTGTAATCTCAGCATTTTGGGAGGCCAAGGCAGGCGGATCACCTGAGGTCAGGAGTTCAAGACCAGCCTGGCCAATATGGTGAAACCCCATCTCTACTAAAAATACAAAATTAGCTGGGTGTGGCAGTGTGAGTCTATAGCCCCAGCTACTCAGGAAGCTGAGGTAGGAGAATTGCTTGAAACCGGGAGGCAGAGGTTGCAGTCAGCCAAGATTGTGCTATTGCACTCCAGCCTGGGTGACAGAGCAAGACTCCATCTCAAAACGAAATAGAAATGGGGGGAGAGAGGTGCTGACATTTTAAATAGGGGGCTAGGGAAGCCCACTGAGTAGGCGGCTTTGCACAGTTTGGAGGGAGGTGAGGGAGGGAGCCATGTGGACGTATCTACGGCAGTGGTCCTCAGTGAGTAATTTTGCTCCCCCAGGGGCCATTTGGCAATTTCTGGAGACAGTTTTGCTTGTTACAAATGTCCCAGTGTTTTAGGTTCAGTTGAGCTAATGGCCTTAGTGTGTAGAGGCAGAGATGCTGCTACACTGCTGCAGTGCACGGACAGCCCCCAGAACAAAGAATTGTCCAGTCCAAAGTGGCACCATTGAGAAATTCTGCCCTAAGGGAAAAATGCTTCAGATGTTAAAAAATGCTTATTCTCACAACCACACTGTGAAGCGGGTATTGGTCACATCCATTTTATAAGTAAGGAAAGTGAGAGTCTGAGTGACTTGTTCAGGACACACAGCTGAGCAATGCCTCGAGCCCTGTTTCTATCACCTCACCCAGACCCAGGACATTTCCCAAGTCTCCTTCTAAGACCCTGGAAGACTCTTAGAAGTCCTTGAGGTCCAGTCTAAAGGACATTTCCTCCAAGAAGCCTTCCCTGATCATTTGAAATTGGAAGTGGTCTCTCCCTCACGTAAACCCCAGTACGTTTGTGGGATGTTCTAGAATACTGTGTTTCTACCTGGCATCTAGGATAGCCTAGAACAGTGGGGTGTTTAGGGACTGGGTAGAAAGCTAGCTCTGCCACCAGGCAGCTGTGTGGCGTTGGGCACATTTAACCTCTCTCATTCCCAGCTTCTGCATCTGCGAGGTGGGGACGATAATAGTCCCTTTGCAGGGATGTTGGGAATTAAAGAGAGTAGACATGCATGTGCTGGACACAGGGTCCGATACACAGTAGATGCTCAATTAAAAAAAAAAAAGCTGATACTTTGTGTGCCTGTTTTACCTGCCCATAAGGCTGAGACGCTTCTGAGGGCAGAGGCAGTCCTTGTTCACCTCACTGTACCTCACAGCACCCAGGACAGGGCCTGGCAAGAGGAACCAGCATTTGTTGATTGATGAATAAACAGAATGATCTGAGGGCATTTATTGGGATGGAAGTGCTCTCTCCAAGCTTAGCACCAGTGCCTATGGGAGAAAGAGCTCAAGGTTAAGGATAAGAGGTCCTGAGATTCTATATATACTCAAAAGTAATTCCAGCAAGTGTTGGCTGAATCAGGGAAGTGGATGGACGGATGGATGGATGAATGGATGGATGGATGAATGGATGGATGGATGGACGGACGGACGGACGGACAGACGGATGGATGGATGGATGGAAGAAGGGATGTTGAGGGGATGATGAGGGATAGATGAGTGGGAGAGATAAAAGGGGATGGAGGATGGACAGGTGGTAGGTGAGGGAGACAGAGTGGGTAGATGGATGAATAGAGATGAGTAGGGGATGGGTGAGAGGTGACAGGTGGGTGGGGAATGGGTAGAAGATTGATAAGAGTGGGCGGACAGATGGATGGGTAGGTAGATACATTACAGAGAGATAAGTAAATTGAGACATAATTTCATTCAATGAATATTGATTGAGTACCCAGCTTGTGCTTGATGCTGGGAAACTGTGATACCAAGACAGATGAGGTCCCTGCCTGCCTTCACTCCTATGAATAGGTAATAGATGACTGGCTGGAAGAGGCATTGTTTCCATTTACAGAAAAGAAAACTTCAGCTCTGAGAAGGGACAGGCTCCCCAGACTAGTTACACAACCTTCCTGGCAGGACCAAGAACTGAACCATCCCAGGACCATTTAGGCACCATGCAGAGGGTGGGGACTTTGGAGACAGGAGACACTGTGGCTCTTTACAGCCCTGGAGGTGGGCAGTGGCTTTCCCCATCCTGGATTTGGGGCAGAAAGAATGGACCTTCCTTCCTACCTACTGGGCAGCCTCCCTTCACTGAGCAGCCTCCCTTCACTGAGCAGCCTCCCTTCACTGGGCAGCCTCCCTTCACTGAGCAGCCTCCCTTCACTG